TAGTAAACATCTGTCTGGGGATGGGGAGACACCTGTTATCAACAAGGGGGCCTAAATGAAACATATTTGTATACCCAACCCTTAACTGTACCCCCCCCACAACATCATAATTTAAAAAAAAGAAATTAGTAAAAAAATTTATACAGTTTTCATCACTGTGTTAATACTGTGTAAAACACTGAAAAATGTTGACTACCTTCAAGAAAACACGAATTGGAAAAACAAAATTAACTACACACACAACACAACACACACCACACCCCAATGTACAAAGACCAGACTTTGTTATATGAACAATGCATACTGGAGGAACTCAGAGAAAATGAGGTACAATAAAGAAAGTCAAGGCGTGAAAAATTAACACCAGAAAGGTATGAGAGCATAGGAGAAAGGAAGAAGGGAAGTTTGAAGGTGGGAAAAGGCAGAGAGATAGGACTGAGAGAATGATGCAAAAGCAATAGCAATAACCCCCCCCCCTCTCTCTCTCTCTCTCTTTCTCTCTCTCTCTCTCTCTTTTACACACACACACACACACACACACACACACACACACACACACACACATACATACACATACACACACACCTCCTAATATATAGGGAGTAAGAACGCCAATGAAAACAAAGGGGATGGTTGTGGAGATCAATGAGTTGGGGGAATTGAATGCTTGATCATCAGAGATCCAATCCTTGTGTATGACAAATGTTTCTGGAGGGTGAGCATCTTGCTTGGCATGGCAGATTTCAGGAGAAAGAGGGAGAGGGAGAGAAACACATCCAGCCTGGCTCTCCTAAGCCCTCTCCTGCTGAGGGGTAACTACTGCGCTTCTGTCCTCCCTGGCACTCAACAGCTACTCTCTAAGTGCTGAGTGTCAGTAGCTATAGTCAGTGAGGAAGTGATCATCAAAAGGAGAGGCAAGATACACATCTAGAAATATTTTGTACCCAAATATTATCAGATCAAGTAGATTCACTCTAAAGTAGTATTCTTCATAATAATGCAAAACAGTTTTTTTTTTTAATCATGCAATGAAGTTCTTCTGGGGTTCTAGGTGACATCAAAAGAGGTTGTGTGCTAGCAGACAGTGGTTATTCCACATTTACCTCCTTCATTTTGTTAATATGCATTTTAAGAAACATTGCTTTACAAAGAAAACTAAGGGAAATTGCCCTAATACTTGGAATCATGAATATTTTAAATCAAACCCAGGCTATGAGTCATTCATTTTCAGGGTCCACAAGCCACCATCTAATGGTATAAGGCCCATATGGAAACAATATTTAAGTGTTCATCATATCAGATGAGAGGTAAACATATCATAAAGAAGGAGAAACTATGCATCAACAAAAAGTAAAACATATCAGCTTAAATTTTAGGGAAACATAGCAAGACTCAAATATTTATCTACTAAATATATCAAGGACTCTACCTGCTGTTTGTTTTACTACTGCTATAATAGTCTTGATTCTGAAATTCAGAAATATATCACTTAAGATAATTTGCTGGCAGAATGAATGGTGGGGACTTTTTGTCAGTGGAAAGGTCAAATAATTTTTCACAATGTACTGCAATTTTTAGCTTTGCAATTTCACTATAAGTGACCCAAGGGAAAGCCCATTATACTGTTATACACAAAAATTATGTTGTAAGCTAATGGAAAGTGAACAGTAAGGTAGCAGTTCTGTATGCTGTCCCTCTGCTTTTTTCTGAAATACATAATTTTGGTAGATTTTGGTTTCTAAATTTTTTTTCAGTAAATGTGGAAAAATTTATTCATGTAAACAAAAGCAAGGAGTCTTATCTTACAATGAGCGTTGTATAACAGGGTAGGCTTCTAGACATAAATGTAAGGCTTTTCTAAGAAATACAACATGCAACAAAAATTTACAGTAAAGCCAAGGAAGTAAGAAAAAAAGTCGACTAACCTAACCCACCTGAGCTCGGCTCACAGGGGTCAATGTCCTCATCATCACTGGGACACTCTGCTGAGGCCACAAGGATGTCATCTGTAGTCTGCAAAAGAATGACATTAAGTAGATTAATTTAAAGGGTTCTAACAGATCCTCTCATCTTCGTTGCATCGACAAATGAAACAGATTGTTTACTTCACAGGTTGAAAAACCAAATTCACGATTTCTTTTCCCAAAGACACAGAACTTAAATTTGTGAACTTCTTTCAGATCCCTCCTAGAAGTTATCTGCCTATTTGTGGAAAATTGATTATACCTTATTTTACATAAGGATGTACAAATGGTAATGGTCAACTTGTAGATACCCATCTACTCAACTGCAGAGGGAAGCTGTATACAGAGGTTCAAAATAACCTGGCAGATGCAGATGATCTGAAATTTATTATAACCCTGGAGTGCTACAATGCATGCATCAGTGGGCTTTATGTAGTACTGGTGCTGAAGCTTCCTAAAAGCAGAACAGTCATAACCTTTTATATCCACAACCAGGTAGAGCTTGATGAATCATTGAGATATAGTGTGTTATTTATTAGGAAACAGAGATTAAGTAAAGATTAGATATATCTTTCAATGGTGCAAAAAGAGAAGGAAATACAGTCCATTGAAGGTATTTTTCCATGTTTGCTAAGATTTCACACTCGAATCTCATTTTTATAAAGTTCAGTTAGCAGGTATAGTTTCCCCATTGTCCTTTTCATCATTGCGGTTTCACAATAAATGGGAAATGTATTTGAAGTGAGGAGTAGAACAGGTGACAATTTTCTCTGTGACATTCTAGTTGCTTCATTGCACTTACAGCTAAAAAACTGATAACTGTCACTGTAATAAAAAGCAGAGTGTGTAAATCCTAGCAGTTAGTCACATAATACATCAACAAGCCCGAAAGATTGTTCTTTATTGCCACTTACAAGCAGCAGTGAACTCAGCCTAGATATTGCATGGAATTTGTAAAGGTTTATAACAGATTTGGCTAATGCTGAGGTAAAACAGAAAGACTCCAAGGTACAAGAAGAAAAATATCTCATTACATCTGCTAAGGATTAAGGAGATTAAAATTGTTTAGACACTACTCAGATTGCAACACTAATGCGGTCCTCATTTAAAAGTGGAATTAATATAACAGTTCTTAATTCAAAGGAAAAGCAGAACTATGATATGAAAACCTACTATTAAAGGAGCACCTAATATTGTCAGCATTAAGATATAAATAAGTAAATTTTAAGAAAGTTGTGACATTTTAAGAAACAGACGAGAGGTGACTCACTTTTATGACAACTATTAGGCTTACAAATCTTTCAACTGCAGGTTCTTTCCGAGTAAAGAATTTGTTCAGACACTAATACTTCATAATACAACTTTAAATAAACATAAGCTTTACATTACATTTTAATATAGTTTCATGTCATTCTGCTCTTACTCTTCTAAAACAGTTGGAAACTTTCTGGACTCATTCATTTTGCTGCTATTTTAAAAGAGAAAGCTCAAAATGTTGGTTTTTCTGGAAGTGTAACTGTTAACAGCAGTGAAAACTATTATAATTGGCATGATGGAGGTGCAGGTCTCTTTCCTTAAAGCAAGCTTTAAAAGGCAAAGGCCCATCCTCCCTTTTGACATAAACACGTCTTACAGGAAAATATCCACATAGGCTTGATAATGACAAATTATTAGCTTATGTGGGCTTGCTGGACGATTGCTCCAATTCACTACAGCACAGATAATTAGCTTTTTTTGCGGGAGCGGCAACTTCTAGTGGAAAGCTACTTTCATTCTCAAACATAGTGGATACACTTTCAAATTTCAAGGTTACAAAATAATTTCTCATTTTCCTTGAGGAATTTTCAATATATTGATGAAATGTACATAGCATTGTTGCTGTTGGTGCTTTGTTCTTGATAGAGGGAGGAAAATGTAAATAACTTATTTAAACCAATGACTCTCATCTCAGCAATGATATGGCCCCCTTTTCCTTCTTCTACCTGGAGGGATATTTGTTAATTTCTGGAATTACTTTAGGTTGCTACAATTGAGAGTTCAGGATCTGCTATTATTGGCGTCTACTGTTGACTGCTAAACTTTCTAAAATGAACGTGACAACTCTTACACAACAAGAAATTATTTAACCTAAAATGTCAATAGTGCCAAAATTGAGAATCCCTGCCTTAAAAGTTTAAAAATTGTCTGTGCCTCATTTTTCTCATCTGAAAAAATGGACTGCATGATAGTACCTATTGTTGTAAGGATTAAATTAGTACATGAAAAGTATCTAGAATAGGACTATACAGTAAATGCTTATTAAAAATGTCAATATTATCAACATTTTCTTTAATATTTTATAAGTATAATATCAATTTAGTTTAATCTTTTACACTATATTTATTTATAATATCTAATTTTAGATATCAAACTGCAACTTGTACATAGGAATTATTCTGAACTTGAAGTCTCATGTTAGCACTTATATTAAAATTCAGTAACTATATTTGTATTTTGTGGATCTAAGCACCATCTTTTACTGTCTGTTTTTGGATTCTGACCTTTCAAAAGGCAAATATCCAATATAAATAAAGACGGCTGCTTCTTAAAAAAAATCGTGGACTACAAATATATGACTCAGTGGATAGTTTTTCATGCAGACTAAATTATTCAGGAGATACAAGTTACATTTTGTTTTAAAAGCTGACCTATTTTCTTTTGGAACAATTCCACAGAAAACAAAAAGTGTTAGAATATTCTTAGTTGTTGCCTTCTACAAAACACACTACCTAAAAATAACAAATGATGTCATACAATGGTACCTTCTATAGCCCCTCTGCAGTAGAAAAGTCACTGCATAAATGTAACCTTTTGGTAAAGCTATATTTTAGTTCTTAACATAATTTTATTGGTGTAATAAATATACATTCTTGATTCTCATGCATTTTTTTCCTTCAAAAACTAAAGAACAGCAACAGCATTGAGAAAAAAAAAGATTTCAAATCAATAATGCCTTGACAAAAATCATCAACACAGTATGAAAAATTAGGAAGTAGTTCAAATGTAAGGAAAAAATAAAATTTTACTTTGGAGGCTGAATTAACTACACAATTTTCTAGCCAAAGCTGTGTAATTTAAATTTAATTCACTGTGTTTGGCGCTGCCTCTCTATGACTTGCTGTTGAGAGAGTGGTAGGAAAAAAACTCAAATATGTCATATTAATCAACTCTATTCTTTACTATACTTTCCCCTGATGTTTATAACCTTTTTCAGGAAAGAGACAACCTGCTGAAATAGACAGAAGAGGGATCAAGCAAAAGCATTAGCTTTATATAACAGTCCATTTAGATGAGTGTCTCTAACTGTGCACTTAAACACCCACAGGTCAAAGCACCATGCTAGTCTTCCAGAATTCAGAGTGATCGGTACATGCACATGGAAAGCGTCCCTTGTTTAAAATGTCTACTAAAATTTAAGTCTCCATGCCTTTAGGGGGAAATACATGACTCAGACAAATACAAGAAATAAAGGCTTCAAATCTTAATCCATTCTGTGTTATATTTGAACACCAACACGTAGAGGATGTTCTTAATGTATGGTGAGAAGGTAGACAAATTTATTTAATATTCAGGGATGTTAAGGTGAGACCATTTGGTAGGTTAGAAATTAGAGAAGCACTGATGTATTTTTTTTCTCGTTTACAAGGAACCTTTTATTTTTCACCAATATTAATAGTGGAATTTGCTGTGCATGCACTTGTTGTCACTTTGCAAAATATGGCCTAATTGCACATCTGTGTGGTAAAAATATATGATGAAAGAATGAATAAATCCAGTACGTAATATTATATCCCTTTAAAGAACAGCATTCCTAGACTTTATTCTTTATGATAAACAGCTTTTCTGAATAAAAATACATTCCAATAAAGACACCTACAAGAAAACTCTACCAGGAAGAGAAATTTACTTAGTTAGGAAGACAACAAATTCCAATTGTACAACAGGATGTCTGCTGTGAATGTGATGTCCACAGACAAATCCTGGATTTATTCTAAAAGTGTAGGTAAAACTGTATTTCTAAATAGCAATAGTGTATCCTGCTACACATACAAATACAAAATAATTATTTAAAGTTATGGTGCTTTCTTGTATAATATTATTTAGCCTAATATTTCACAGCTTTGACTGATATTTATAGAGTGAATTAAAATTGATGGACCAGGTTTGGCGGCTCAGCCTGTAAACCCAGCACTTTGGGAGGCCGAGGTGAGTAGGTTGCCTGAGCCCGCGGGTTCAAGACCACCCTGAGCAACTTGGCGAGACTTCGTCTCTACAATGAATCAAAAATCAGCCAGGCGTGGTAACCCACGCCTGTAGTTCCAGCTACTTGCAAGGCTGAGGGGGAAGGATCACCTGAGCCCAGCAGGTCAATGATGGGATGGCTGTGAGTGTGCCACTGCACTCTAGCCTGGGCAACAGAGTGAGATTCCAACTCAAAAAGAAAAAAAAATTGATGGAGGCTTGAGTATGATGCTAACTAAAATGTGATATGTTTGTTGAATTGATGAGCACTTGTTCTTGTTTATACTTTTCTCTACAAGAAGTTATTCCGAAAGACAGTATTCATGACCAAATCTAATAGTTTCTCCCGAAAATATTTATCACTAGGTGAGATTCCTTGAAAAAAAGATTTGCAGAACTCAGAATTAGTGCCACAAATTTCCCAAGCAAGGTCCAACCCATTGGACCTTGGTAACTGTGCTCCATGATAATATATGGAACAAGAAGTTTCTAGGTGGTAGGGGAAGCAGCAATTCTCACCAGGAGGAAAAACCGTAGACAAATAACCTACTTGTAATGTGTATACAGGTATAGGATTCTCAAACATTGATCTAATTGATTAAATAATATCAGTAAATAAATATATCAGATTTGCAATCTCATGAAGAATACAAAAGGAATTTAAAGACTCTGCATAGATATTATGGTAATCTCCTTCACCTCAATCAAGTTGCCTCAATTGATGTCATAAACATATCAATCTCATGATTTACCATTTGATAAAAATTA